ATTTCATGGGGAGCAGGGCTAAGTCAGTGCAGAATTTGGTCTTTTAAACTTACTTCATCTAGTGACACTTCCCTATAGCTATGCATTATACTTCACCAATCACTTGGGGTGTTTAGAAGTATATTCTAGATGCTGTTTCTTTACAGCCTTTGATCAGAAGATCTTAAAATGCTTCATAGACAGGTAAATAGTTGTTTCCTTTCCCACTTTTACAGATAGGGAAACTGAAACACAGAGTGATGAAGCATTTTGCCAAAGTCTGCACTGCAATCTAGGGATGTTAAATATCGGTTAATTGAATAGTCAAGTAACTTCATGAATTTTTATCAGCTAGTCGACTATTCTATAGTCCCTGGGGGCAAGGCCGGCAGCCAGCGTGCTCCATCCCCACTCCCAAGGAGCCCCCTGCCATTGTATCAGAGGTAGCAGTGAAGGGTGTCAGACGGGACCCAGTTTAAAAAACACCTCCCCTTCTGTACTGGCTGCCTGTCAGTCGGTGCTGCTGTCTCTGAGAGAGAGGCAGCATGGGGTGGCAGCAACCCCTGTCCAGGTGGGATCTGAGCTCCTGGACCTGGTGAGAGCCGGAACTGAGCCAGGCTGCCTGCCTACCTGGCTCCTAATACACTTTAAATGCAGAGCCGTAGCAGGGGCAGGTTCTAGACCCGGCGTGAGGCAGGACTAAGCCAGGCTGCTGGCCACCCTGCTAAAAAATTTACTGGGAGAGACTAGGGGGAAATGCATGTAGTCGACAGCATTAACCTATAATAGGACTATATTATCACATCCCTACTGCAATCCAGGGCAAACCTGGGAATGGGAGCCCAGCATGATCAACTCCAGCCCTCTGATTTGAAGGGCACATCAGGTCGACACCAGGCTGAACTTTGGAGATAATTTGCCTGCTAAGCTATTGCATGTTTCTGATTTGTAGGAGTCTGGTTTGACTTGGTTTATTTTTAACTTTTCATTTTCTTTTTGGGAAACTCAACTGTTCATTGGGTTTGGCAGCTGATGGCTATTAACTGTCGCACTCCAATAAGCAAGAAATAGTTAGAGCAGCATTAAATATTTGAACTGTGCAGTAGGGCTGTACTTCGTCTCAGCACACAGAAATCCCATGCTCTAACCGCACTGCAAGGAAGCCCACCTTACTGCTAGTTAGCTCTGTCTGTCCATCTCTCTTCCCATCCTGTTATTAGCCTGTTACACAAACAAAATCTTTCCCTTTATGCCAACTCTGGTGAGACCTGACAAAAGTAGGACACAAAATACGTGATGCTTTTTAAAAGCATGTTTATTTCATTTTCATTTTGTAATGAGCCTGGTTATTACACGTCTTGGTAAGAGAATACATCTCCTGCACCTCTGACCTCCCTGACATGCAATACTGCCTTGCGCTTCCAATAGGAACAGGGTCTGTGTCCCATTCACTGTTGTTAACACAGAATTGTCTCTGTTGGTGAGCTTGGTTTTAGTTGCATACCGCTGCCCACTTTCTGTGGCCCTCAGAGTTAGAGGGTGCAGCTTTGTTTTAAACACAGGTTTTCAGCATTTTTTAACTGTCATTTTTGTTCCAAACTTTTTACAAAGATATTACACACAGGGCACCCAAAGGCCTGCATTTACAAAGCAGGATTTAGATTGGCCTCTGCAGGAAACATTTAAAGCATAACATGAATGATGTTTGCCATAGAAGCCAGTTATTATTCTTTTTAGACTAACAGTAGTGCTCAGAGAAGCCCTTGCAGGGGGATTAGTCCAAGAAGAAGATGCTTAGACACTAACTAAATTCTGAGCAATTTGGTTACTGAACTAGTCACAATAGAAATAACTCTCTCAAAAGGTCTTAAGTGTGAGAATTATCGTCAGGAAGTGCACAGTGAGTTAGAGAGAGAGAGAAAACAATAGGCTCATGGCTTAATACATATAGTTATCACTTCACATGTTCATTTTCCATTTAATCTGTAAAACGCATAGACAGTAGCAGTCAGGCCCAAATTAAGATACCCTTTCCCTTTGATCTTACACCTCTGACATCTGTTTGGGTAAAGGGAAGTATTCCTACCTTTCCCATGCCTGTCTCAATTCACTACACAGGAGCTATATTTAACAACAGGCCAATCACATGACCACTGAAAAGGAACAGCACAAGAATCCATAATCCTAATACTCAGGCTCTCTGATTGCTATAAATCCTTTGCTGGATGATTTCCTTTAAATCCCCAATATGTCATCACACTTTTAATTAACATTTCTCTGCTAAAACTGTGCCTAAGACATTCTAAATTAAACATTGTTCCCAAACTTGTCACATTTCAATAGCTTGTATTTCTATAGTAATTTCCAGCTAGGATATTTGAAGATGAAGCTTTTTTTTCGTCTCTTCCCACATTCCCCCAAAACAAGGAGTAAAAATTAGCACTATCCTTTCTCTAAAATATATGGGTCAAATAGCTCCTACAAGAAAAGGCCATTAGAACGATAAAAGGGAAGTCAAGGGAAACGACACAATGAGTGATGTTGCCAGTACTATTGTACTCAAGGGTGTACTATTTTCGTACATTGAGCTCAATATGTCCCTTTATGGATAAGGGATACTGGAGTATAAAGTGGCGAAGCGACGTGTCCAAGGTCACCCAGTGAATCAATAGCAGAGATGGGAACAGGAACCAGGTAGCCTCATTCCTAGTCCTGTTCCCAAACCACTGGACTAGCTGGATGATGCTGCGCCTCTCTGAATAATGGGCCATTGAGATCAGTGGCATAACTCCCATTGACTTCAATGGTTTAAGATGAAGCCCAACGTGTGTAATCTTAGGTTAAATTATTCCCTGGTCTAGTTAAACCCTTACTACTGTCAATGGGCATTTCACTCTGGGGCTATTGATTAGTAAGTGGTGAGTTTCAAAGCAGTCCCCTCCTGACACTGCCCTGATCTGAGGATGCTGGCTTTGAATTACAGTTCCGATTCAGAGTCAAACTCACCTGAATTCATCTGGCAGAGCTGAGATTTCAATTGCACATGTCAGAGGTTGACAAGTCTTTGATGGCATGTTTTTCAGGAAGTCCATTCTTACACAGAGGTGGTTAGTAGCGGACGAAAAGAAAAAAAATACGTATGGAGGCAGGCCAGGGATGGCACCAGTGACCATTATATGGACACACATCTTCTAGCAGAGGTAAGCAAAAAAACAAAGCACAGATGCTGAAAGGAATTCTGAAGGAAATCAGCTGACAGCACCGTGGGAATTTATTTAGTATACCTTGGCAAGCTATTTCTAAGTATTCATGCATTGTCCTAGGATTTCCATCTAGACATACCGAGGAACTAAGGAATGGCTAAATATATTGGGTCAGATTTTGATGCCCTTCATCAAATTGTGTTGTTGGCTTACTCCTCAAGCTAGTGTCTTGGGCCATGTCTACACTGCGGAGCTATTTCAGGATACTTCTGGTATACTGAAATAGCTATCCCACGTCTTTTGAGCAAGCCTGTCACTTCGAAATATAACAGGCTCGCTATTCCGACATCCCTGTAAACCACGAGGAGTAAGGGACATTTTGTTCCACGAGGAGTAAGGGACATTTTGGAATAGCGGGTTATTTTGAAGCTTGGCTCTATGGAGACTGTGCCGAATAACGAAATAAGCTATTTCAAAATTGACTCAAAATAAGCTACACAATTTGGATAGCTCAAATTACATAGCTTATTTTGAGCTATGGGTGTGGTATAGATGCACCCTTGAGCTATAGTGACACAAAGAGCCAATCAGCAGCCCAAACTTTCATGGTATCTCAGTGAACTAGGAATACAGCCCAAGATTCTACTTCCTCTGCGCTTTGTACAAAAACAAAGCAACTCTTAATATATAAAATGTAAAAAATATTCCATATCCTGTGGATCTTAATAGACCAGACCTCTTTCACCATGGAAACAGAATTGAAACTGAATGTAATTAATATGAAATGGGGAGTATATCCATTGTAAATCCTGTTCATGTAAGTGACTCAACTCTTGGGGTGGAACAGGGATAACATAGAATGAAGGTGTTACAAAAGGGAATGGAATATGTCACTGAGCGCTGAGTAACAGCAAGGTCAGATTTAACTATTAGAACTCTGGTATATTCCCAACTCCCAGCCAAATTCATACTTACAAGAGGATACCTGTGTTAAGCTATATAGCAACAAGGAACTTTTATCCTGGACTGTGTCCCCCTTCCTGGCATTCTCGAGGAATAGCACCATATATCAATATGCCCTAGGTGTGAAATCTGCTTTAACAGTGGAAGAGTGATCCTGTGAAGTCAGGTGCCTACTATAAATGCACATAGCTGTAGTAACTGAAATGCAGAGAGCACCTGCACTGTACCCTATCCATTTCTCAACCCTCACTTCATCCTTTACAGATAGACTGTGCTCATTTAGCTCCAGCTCATGCGGGTTGGTGGAGTCACATGACTGTAGAGGGCGCTTTCCGAAATACTGTGCCTCCTGCATCTCCTCGGTGTGTAGGTAGAAGTGCCCTCTGTATCACCTCTTTTGAAGGTTCAGCTTGCGCTCAGCAGCCAGCCAGCTCTGTTGGTCCATGTGCAGGATCCAGGTCTTGCCTCCTCTCCGCTCCCTTTGGGATATGTAGCAACCTCGCATGTGCTAGCAGGGAATAGTTTCTGGGCTCAGGAGAATGCAAGACTCCAACTGTTGGATGCCTTTGGCAGTTCACTGAACCTTAGCTACTAACTTCTCATCTCTGCTGTGGTATGAACACTACTCTGAGAAAATGCACAACCACTTCCTTCCTTCCTTCCTTAATGCTGAGCACATTCCTGAGACTGAACCCACTGCCTGCCTGGACACTTAAAGTTGCAAATAAAATCTCAAGCTCCATCATATAATGTGGGTTGAACACCTGCTTCCTGGCCTCTAGCTGAAAAAGGTTTCTGTCGGGGTGGGGTGGGACACACACTGCGCTCTTGCAACAAAAAGCTCAGGAATTACTGTATGACAATTTTTTATTCATCAGTATCAAATTATATAGCAAAGTAATGAATACAAGTGTCAGACAGTCTCTTTTGAATACAGTAATACAAATAAAATCCGGCATATTGTTTAATTATCCAAAGTAAATTACAAGTTTAAAAGTGTGCGTTTAAGAGATTCCTTTTGGCATATCCTGACAAGACATCCTGCATAAATATTTCTGTACCTCATTTTCACTGTGTATTTATCTTCATTAAATACAGCCTTAAAAGCTTATACTGAGGAGACAGATATAAAATGTACAGCTAGAGCCTATTGTGAGATCATGTCTCTACTTCAAAAAACACGGAGACTGCGTATTTTACTGGCCAGTCTGATAGATGCACATGAATTGACAAAAATTAAGGGTCAAATCCTGCTTGAAAATCGTGCCTAACCCAAACCCACAGCCATCAAGGAAAAATTCTTAACTTCAGTGGACTTTGGATGAGGCCTTTGAATTACTGGCAAAACCATCAACTTAATTAGGAGCATGACTAAGCCCACCAAGCCAGATCTTGCCTGTTATACTACTAGATCGCTTGGGGCTGAGTCTCTTCAAACTTACACTGCTTTTAACACTGGAATACAACCCTTGGCTTAGGAGGAGTGATTATTGATTTACACCATTGTGAGAAGGTCAGACCTGCTGATTTTACACATGAATAAGAAGAGCAGGATTTGACCATGGTGAAACACAAACGAGGTTTCTATATAGAAATGTTTTAACAGAGTGAATCAGCTGTGATAGCTACATGAGACTTCTCATATAAACTGTGTACATAATACAACTTGTCCAGGTTGATGAGAGAATAAACTTCACTTACCACTTGTAATCCCTAAATTAAGACTAGTGAGACTAAAATTAGAGTGATGTGACTAGGAAAATACCTTAGCAATATACATTTTGTAAAGTGAACAGAAGTACAGAAGCCTTGATGCAGGTAATTGGGAGGGTGAGGAAGGGGAAATACGAAACTTTAGGCAACAATCCTATAAACATAAGAGTTTCTCTTGATCCCGCTGATTCATTGGCATCAGTGGAAGTCAGGCTTTTCTGGGAAGGTACAACCAGAACGCTTTATGATCACACTGGCTGCATAATGTCCACCTCGGATGCACTCTGTCAGCACTCGGTCATAGACAAGCTGAGAGAGAAAGCCTACAGAACAAAAGAATGAAGAAAATAGTTAGATTTTTGAGTACATCACACAGTCCCTGATAGGCAAACCACTTAGCATATGCCTAACTTTAAGCATATTAGCAGTGCTAGTGAAGTTAAACTTACTCAGGCTCATATTTGAGTAACTTCCTGAACTGGGGCCTTACTTATTAAAATTTAAAGCTTACACCTGGTGGCTTCAAGCAAATTGTATAACTATCAATTTTTTTATTGGCGACTTCAAACAAAAAAGAGAAACTAACTTCCTAGCTTTCTTCTTTCAGTGGGAACTGGTGGTATCTCTACTGTCATTTAAAAATGTAGAAGCAACTCTTCATTTTGTAGCTGAAACAAAAAACAGGACTGTGTAGCACTTTAAAGACTAACAAGATGGTTTAATAGGTGATGAGCGTTCATGGGCCAGACCCACTTTTCTACCACTATTCATTTTGTAGAGAATTCCTGCTTTTCATATCAGCTACTTTTACAGACCCAGCAACTTACTCCTGTATAGTCTGTTCCTTATGAGAAAGCAAATTGCTTAAGAGCATACACGTTAACTTTACTCATCGAGGCAGGTGTTCAAAGCAAAATTGAATGAGAAATTTTTAATTGATCAGAAAATTCAGATAGCAACTGTTGTTCCCTATTCATTAGGGAAATAGGAATCCAGGTTTTAAAAACTGGGTGCCTTACGTTGAGCTCTAAATCTGAATTTAAACATCTAAATAATCCTAGAAGTGGAAGGGACCTCGTGAGGTCATCGAGTCCAGTCCCCTGCCCTTATGGCAGGACCAAACACCATCGAGATCATCTCTGACAGGTGTCTGTCTAATCTGCTTTTAAATATCTCCAGTGATGGAGATTCCACAACCTCCCTAGGCAATTTATTCCAGTGCTTAACCACCTTGATAGTTAGAAATAAGTGGCCCCATTTTCCAGAACATTGACCAGTGCACTTATCTAGCTACTTGGGGCTATAAAATACCATAACCATTGCTTACAAAATCTGAAAGCAGGAGGAATTCAGCATTTTTGAGAATCAGGCCCACTTATTTAGATGCCTCTATGTGGACTCAGAAACCTAATTTTAATCTCCTTGGCTGGCGATTTTCAAAGTCGTCTAAATGAGCTAGGCACCAGCTAGAACAACTCCTTTAGGTCCTTTGAAAATACCAGCTTCATTTCAGAAACTCTTGTTCTTGATCTCCATATATGCACCTGCACAGAGCAACACCATGGTTAACAGACAATACTTACTGTAGATAGGACATAAAATGCATTTTAAAACTAGAGTTCAAATTGGCTTGAAATGGGAAGAAATAAATTCAATCAGAACCAACACCCCAGCAATTGAACGTAAACATTTTTTTTACTCTTACCAAGTAGTTTAAACTTTTTTAAAAAGCATCTCAGACTCCTAGGTTGGCTTCTCGCTTTTCCATGCAACCACAGAAGCAAAGTCACCCTCAGCCAGTCAAGTCCAGAATTTAAAAAAAGCCCAAGTTCTGTTAGGCTGTCACCCTTCAAATTCCCTATCTCACATTCAGGCTGCTTCTTGGTGTGACAGTACAAGAGTCTCAAATCACGTTTCTTAAAAGTAGCTCAAATCTACCATCTGATGACATATCAGAAATTCTGGTTCAAAGAGAATGACGTGTTTCACTGTTTTCGATATTCAGGTTGGTTACTATTAAAATAAATAAAACAATTTTATGGCAATGCTCTAAAGCCCTAAAGGAAGAGTGTTTTAATTTAACCTGTATTTCATCTTTAAATATTTACTCCTGGGATGTTCAGCCCTATTTTTAGATCAAAATAAAACATTCTTTCCTGTGTAATAATGCCTGTTAGTAATTTAGAGCTCAATCTGTAGCACAAAAATCACATAAAACATGAACAACAAAAAATCTCAAGAACTGTGAACAATACCAATGTCAATGACTAAGTAGCATCTGACCTCCCCCAGTCATAACCAACAGTGAAAAATGGTTGAACTGATCCTCAGTGTCATCTCTAAATTTCACTGACATGGGGAAAAGCAGGGTTTTTTATATTAAAGTCACTGGTTCTACTAGTCAAATACCACAGATTTTCCAATGGAATGTGGGAGATGCTAGAAAAATGGGTGAAATGGTTGACAACCTGAGAGCCATAACAAATTCTGGATATGTTTTAATATCAGAATTGGTCCATAGAATCTTGAGCCATAATTTAGCTACGTTTTCGCAGACATGACTGCACTGACAAACTCAGAGGCCATAAACATAGGTGAAAAATCGAGACCCTTAAAAAGTGAAGAGTTGTGCCATGAGCACTGACAGCAATGGCAGTCTGATGCTGATGTACCCCCCCCGACTAGCGGCAGGAGGAAGGTTTGGATAATAGTTCTGAAATTCAAAAAGCATGTCTGGCAGAAATCAGAGGGCTTCTGAAGAATGTGATGAAAATAGTCTGCTTCCCACTGCATTAAATTGAATTCCTAGAGGAACTTTTCCTGGATGCACAGGGGATGTCAGTCACAACGTCTGAATGGCCTGGAAAATTGCCAGCGAATTTATGGATGGTTAAAACTAGAGCGCCAGTAGTGACCATATGTAAAATTTGGCAATTAAGAATGTCCATTTCTAAATCATCCTCTGCTATGCATGGGGCTGGCTTTTTAAGGAAACTTCCTAACTGCCAGAGTGGTTAAGCAGTGGAATAAATTGCCTAGGGAGGTTGCAGAATCTCCATCATTGGTGACATTTAAAAGCAGGTTAGGTAGAGATCTGTCAGGGATGGTTTAGATGGTGCTTGGTCCTGCTGTGAGGGCAGGGGACTGGACTGGATGACCTCTCGAGGTTCCTTTAGGATTCTATCGTTCTATGATCAAAAAGTCTAAGAGATAGTATTCTATCGTTCTATGATCAAAAAGTCTAAGAGATATACTGTGCAGGCCTCGTTAAAAACACACACACACAAAATCTGAGCTTTGCAAAGAGCATAAGTCCAGGAAAGGCTTTACATAAAGAAGAAAATCATGTTCTTTGTTGCTAGCCAATACTTTAAGAAAATAAGATATGTGAAGGTCTTAGGAAATTAAGTATAATTTAATATGAACTACCTCTAGGGCCTGCCTGCCGTTCAGCTTTAGACCAGGGTATATCCACTGACGTCAGTGAAGCTACTCCTGATTCACACAAATGCAAGGTCCTGGTTCAGCTGCTACTTGTATGATGTGTAGACTCTGCTGTGGAAAGTTTGCCCCAGATCAATATCTAATCTTGAAAGTTTCTTTTTAAAATTACTTATGTTTACAGGATTGACAGTGGAGAACGTAGAGGCATCAGAAGTAATACTGCATCAAGTATTAACACAAACACATAAGTCACAAACATAAAAGTATAGAACGTACTAAACACAGGCAGTTAGCAAAGTAGACCCTTGGGAAACACCAGAAAGCACTCTTGGTGTAGTAGAAAAACAAAGCACTCAGTCAGGCAGACTGTTTTAGCTGCAGAGTGGCCTTTTAAGCATATTCAATAAAATTCAAATACAGTTCCGAGTTTGGGTTCTCCAGTGTGAAACCGTCTGTACTGCAAACAGTGAGGAACCTCTCTGTGCCAATCCTAGAAAAAGATGTGCAAGAACACACTTGCGGCATGCAATAGTATTGGAACGCCATTAGTTCCCCCAAAAGTGCCATTACAGCATTCTGGGGTCTTCCAGCATGACTCCAGTCTTGGCCTGTATCCTCACTGCACCCCCTATGTACTACCTACTCTTGGTCCCTAATCGGCATTATTCTTCTGTGATTCTGAGTCAGAGCGCTAGTGCTATTCTAACTTAACACTGAGGCTGAGCCAGTTTCCTGGTTGCCCTCATGATCAGCGCAGTGCAAAATTGGCACAATGCCTTAATTAAGAGAAGCTCACCTAGACCTGAGAGTCTGGCCTTGCATGTTCTATCAAATCAGCTTTAGGGAATATAGCACAGCTTTGTCTAAATATTATTTAGACTTATTTTCTAATTGCAGATGATGTTCAACTGCATTTCCCCACAGTCCAAGCATATGGATACATCACTTGTTTTAATACAAACTTCTGCTGGCCAGTGTGTTAGGGGAGGAACCAGAATCCAGGCCTCACTCATTTGCCTGCCCTGACTCCACCACCTCTGTTCTGAGTGTGTGGGGGGAAGGTGGGCGTAGCGCTTCCTGTACTGTATTTAGTGATCTAGTTAGCTCGTGCTGGGGAGTAAGAGCTAACTTCCCACCCAACTTCCCCCCCTCCACGTTGAACAAGTAACAATCTTGCCCAAATGCATTACATCTATTGGAATTGTGTCCAGTAAAATGGTGTTGTCCCCCCACAAGAGTATAAAACACAACCAAGACCTGTCCAGTGGAAATGGTTATGGGAACACATCAACAGCTCTTATCAGTCCAGTCGTATTTCCTAAGGAGAATTGCAGGGCTTATATCTGCCCAGGAGCTAAAATGCAGATTGGCTCTGAAAAGTGTCTCTGATATCACCACATATTATCTTTACTGTCTCTCAAAGATTTCTATACTGTCCGCATTCGGTTTTACAAGGATTAAGACAGTTTTTCTAACTGACATCCCTGCACACTCAACATGAAAGTCAAGTTGGTTTCTTTCCTCCTGGCACATCATCAGATATAAAGGTTTTGCAGGCCAAATTAGGCTTTCAGTGGAACCAGCATAATATTGTTTGCCAGTTATACCCCTAGTGACACCTGTGACATCACACTCCCACTGCCGCAAATGATTTTGTATGGAGGTAACTGATTGGAAGCTAGAAAACAATGCTTTTATGATCACATGAAGGAATACAATCTAGTTCACTCCCTCGCAGATTTACTAATACAACTCTGAAAAGACCAAGGGAGTGGGAGCTGTTTTTACTTCTGCCTCAAAGTAAAACAATTAATTTTGCCATGGCCAACAATACAGAAGTTCTAAATTTACAATGTTTGGAGCAATTGTCCTTATAATC